TTTTTTTTCTAATACTGAGGAAAAAATGGAAAACTGTAAAGCGGAGGACCTTCCTATTAAAATTAAGAGCTCATATTTGGAGAGAATTTTCTAGAGGTGTCTAGCAACCTATTTTTCAGAGCATAAAGTAAAAAAATAGTCGATTTTGTTGTGAATATTGTTTTTTGATAATCTTTCAGCTCCAGAATTGATGGTACTTTCCCAAAACACCCTGTATATCACATGCTTTTAATAATAATTTCATGAATATATTAAGAAACATTGTAAAGGTCTGAATATTAATCAGTGACATTTCAGAATAAATTAATAAATTATTTCTTATGCTCTTCACGGAAAGTCAGTTTTGTATGTAAATTAAAACTTAAGAACTAAGATATCATTAGGTGATGAAGATATACCTTTTTTTATTATAAAAAATGTAATCGCACAGCCTTTTACGTATATGGTAAATCTCTCGCTTTGTATTCATGGTACTTTTCCGGATACTTTTGCTTGTGAAATTGAGAATTATCATCCTGTAAGTATACCTTATGCTTTTTCAAAAGAAATGGAATATCATTTTATAACCATATTTAAATAATAAATGTTCGATGTGAAAAATGCCCTTTGGATATTTTGTGACCTCAGCAGAACATTATTTCATTGTATCGATCATGATCTAGTAAACTATGGCATAAACAAGGTTCCATCACAATAAATTCATTATTGAAAGAGTGTCAGCAATATATAACCATAATTTACGAAAATAGGGCCAATAATTTAGACATAAATATAGGTGTTCCACAGGGGTCAGTATTGGAGGCTATGCTATTCTTACTGATTATAGGTGATCTAACTATTCACTATTTTTGCAGTTATATAATTTAAAAATACGATGTGAGTAAAAATGAGAAATTATTTGTTAGATGTTCTTATGTTAAAGACTATTGTTTCTATAATTGGACAAAGTAGTTCTTACCTGTTGAAGTGCTTCCTGAAAGCCCCGCTGAGGAAGTACAGTGCCACGGGATTCGCACACGAGTTGATATACGCGAGACAGAAGCCCACTATCCGTAGGTAGTGCCAGAAAGCGTTGTACAACTCTTGGGACTGCGGGTGGAAATAGAAGAAGAGCATGAAGGTGTGCATGGGGGCAAAGCAGATGGCGAACACTGCCACGAATATGAGGACGGTGATGGCCACTTTCTTCCTTGCCTTTATCTGTAACAAGATATACAAGGTGTCAATGAATATATATTTACAGGGTATGTATGGGCTGAAAACTGACCAGCTTTTAATGAGAAATTCATATCCGGAAACTCACCGTTTTCAAAATATAATACCAAAATTATGTATCTATTTGAATGTGAATATAGTTTATAATGTAGTTTTTGTTGATAGTTGGCTATGACCAATTTGACCAGTCACTTTAGTATATTTTGACGTGTGAGATTAGACTGTGTTGGTTTGTGTTAGTAGTTTATTTTATCAGTGAATTGTTGATGTATCATGGTCATACGTTGTGAGATTATGATAATATGGTATTACCACAGACAATATAGCTTATCGACAATTTTGTCTGTTGTATTACTATACAGACAACGTATGAAGTCTAATTAGAGTATTAGTAGTATTAGAAATTAGATTTATGTAAGCCTCTGGCAAATTTTAAAAGAACAGCAGCTTTACCCTTATCAGCAATAAGTTCAAGAATTAAGTTCAGTCAATTTTTCGAAACGTATTAACTTTTCTCGTTGATTTGTACATCGTTATCTGTAGCAGCTTCAATTTCCAAAGTATATTCTTTTTACTGATGAACATTTCTTCAGCAGAGGAGGTACTTTTTACTTCGACAGCCATGCTGGGGCTGACGAAAACCCTTACTTTAACCTATCCCTCAAAATTTCAACACATATTCAGAATCAACGAGTGGTCTGCTACAGTCATTTAATTAGGTCATATTTTTTCGCCTTGTCCCATCCGCCACATTTACTTGATTTTTCTGCAAGACGTCTTGGAATTGTTGGTAATGTCACTGGAGATTTGTCACGAGATGTCGTTACTTACAATCCGACACTGTATCAAGTAAAAAAATGACTGAGTAGGAGGGAACAATAGCTGTCGCCAGCAGTGGCCGCCATGTTCCCTGGACCTAACTTCTCCAGAGTTTCTTTATGGACCAAATGAAGATCTAAAGAGTTTTCATATTTTTAGTTCATGACGAATACATTATTATAGGTGGCTCAAATGCTTTCCTTGCATTTTACATCTTAAAAATTAATTACGTGCTATCTCAAATATTTTAGTGTTCTAACCATATTGCAGACTTTTTCTATTTCCTGTTGTAGAACTTCCCATCTGGTTCTACATACATCGAATTTTTAAAATAACTTCTAATAAGGACGTCCAGTGTATTCTGGTTTAACAGTTTACGTGGTTATTGAATTAATTTATCACGTCCAATCCACATTTGTTCGTAAGGATCATTTAGGTACTGGTAATAAGCATTGCAGGAGAACACCATCGTGCATGAACCACAAACGCATGTGTTACAAGGTGTAGATATATAGGACCGTTTAATCGATTAGGCAATACAACAGGTCCTATTAACCTGTCACATGGAGTGTCAATCCAGATATTTTAAATAAAACGTTGTTAACCTCTTCAACAACAGCATGCGGATTCTGGCCAGCTTAAATGTGTATGTTATGAAAATTGAAAATTTCGTCTCTTGCAAATCCTACCTCTTTCTTGAAATGGACGAATACCGCCAAATTGGGAGTGTTAGCCTACAAAACTCCCTACAAAATATCCTCGATCTGGCGAATTGAGTACTTGAACATATAGGGCATTGCAGGGGTACAGTGACTGTTCTCTAAAAGTTCTCCAAATGAGAATAGCGAATATCTACAACCCATCTAAACTTATTTCCAGGGTTTACTCTCACTTTCCCCAAATTTGTTCTTCTAACTCGAGTGGGAACAGACCTAGGTCTTCGATATACAGTCAATACAGTTGATACCATGTTTTCCACTGTTCCGGATCCGCTGAAGTTCAAGCAAAAGAAATAGGACGATAAACTTCAACACCCATACATAAAATATATGTCTATCATTTCTGTTGTGGTGGTACAGTAGCACTATTTATCATTCTTTGGTTGAGTGATAATCCAGGGAAAGCTCGCGATGCTCGCCCAGCTTCTAGTGACTTGTAGTCGGTCAATTCACATATGCTTTACAAATTCAGGCGAGATTTATAAAGGAAGACGTACATTCCATCGGGAAGGATATAAAACCGTTGGTACCTTGTTTTGAAAAAATTCAATTTTGGAAAAAAAAATTTTCAAAATTTTTTTTCTAATTTGCAAAAAATTTTTTTTTTCTCGACATTTGAAATATTCAATGTAAAATTGTAGAAAAGAGAAAGCAAAGAAATTTTATTTTTTTTTAAATTTGATTTTTTTCAAAATGGAATTTTTTTTTCAAAATTTTAATTTTTTTTTTCGATATTTGATGAGTAACGCGAAATTGTGAAAAAATAACCCAAAAAAATTTTGTTTCATCTTAATCATTAATTGATGTTTAAGCAGCAATAAACCTGCGCCTTTAATTTTTTATAAAACTTTGATGATTCAGGAAAGGAGAACGGTTCTATCGATCGATTTCAAAATTTACAAGCCTAATGGGTATGTATAATCTAAAAAAAAAACTATAAACATTGGTACTTTTCGCTATATTTGCAAAGTAGTCGTTGATTTTCCAAAACAGCAAAAAAGCATTTTTTCGTACTATTTTAAATTCATGCAGAGTACAAAATTTTTTTTTTCTTTAAACATACCAAAAGACCCTTAAAGAGGATTGATTCAGGTAATTCGTGAGATATCGATGACCAAAAAAAAAGGTGACTCTTCCTCAATAGCCGATATCAATGAGAAATAATCATACACAAAATAAAAAAAAACAAATTGAAGCTGATAAATCAAGCTAAATGGCCCTGGTACTGATTAAGCCAGAAAAAAATTTTCTGAAACTATGTGTAGTTTCAAAAAAAGTTGTAAAATATTGTATTGTATGTATATTGAAAAAAAAATATTTAATTTGATGCTCAAAATCAATTTTTCTTAAGATTTTAAAACTAGTATCTTCAAGCTTTAAGATACTTTTTTCTCGATACAATCACACTCAAATAGTGCAGACTTATTACATAATATCCTGTACCAAATACGGATTGATTTAGTCGTTTGGAAAATTAACCAAAAACACATTTTTTTAATGAAAACTTTAATTTCGTATTTCGAAGATATTTCCAGACATGTTCCTATAAACATTTTTCTCATTTTTTGGTGTACTCTAAACATTTAAAATTTTATGAACATCATGTACATTTGAGGTGCCATTTTGTATTATTAATCTATTTACACTATTATTATTAGCAGTACCGTATAACAGTATAGTTTCTTAGTTATCCCAAAGTATAGTTTTTAATATCCTAAATTATAAAGGTCAGACCAGTTAGAATACCAGTAGCGGAAAAACTCCAATATTGCAATAAAATAACAAGTTAAAAGCACGACTGAAGACTTTTTGTAATTTATTACCTTTTAAAATTTATACAAGTAAAAAAACTCCGAATAAACTACATTTTTATGAGGTTCTGAAGCAATATCCTTCGTTCCGTTCGCCCCCTCGTCACGTTTTTCCCAGACAATTTTTAAACAACTGTATCAATATCAGTTTTCCTTGAATATAAAAATTGGGAACGTCAAAGACGTCTATTTGATCTCGAATATCTTCTTCATAAAAGAAGTATTGTTCGAAGATGTATTATCGTAAGAACTTGGAGCAGAGGCGTGTCATTTTTCCAAACCAAAACCGAAGTATGAGCATAAATAACCAAGTTGTCGATTTTAATATATGAGAAGTTTTCACAAGTCCAATACATAATATTTCTACACACTGAAAGTATTATCTTGATTGAAACTATGTTGGAATTTGTATGTGATTAAAATAAAAAGTTTTGCTTACTTTGGTTACGTCTTTCGAATTGTTTGAAGACTGTCTGTGTCTCAAAAGTGAGTTTATGCCTACAGAGAAACTTCTTTTGCTGAATTAATTTTTACTTGATTCTGCCAACCATCAAAATTTTATATTCTATACTGAAATAATTTAAAATTTATTTTACTACAACAAGAATTTAGAAATACAATGCTTTTATCTTCTTTACAAATTCTTTCTTTCATTAAATAGCCCGGTCAAAATAGACATTTCAAATAACGAAAATTCCGACAGACCTAAATTTTGGTGGAGACGTTGGGTACACCATTAGAAATAAAGTGTCAAAAGTCCCCATCGATCCCATGTATGCTAAAATAGTTTTCGGGGTCAAAGGTCAAAATTTGAGGTTTTTTGGATTTTTTTTCGAAAACGGTAAGTTTGATCAAAAAAGTAGCCCTGACAAAAATTATAGATCTTAAAGTTATTTACAAAAATGGTCCTTGTACTTTTTTAAGAATCGCCATTCCTGAGATATCGCGATTCTAATAGTTGAAGGAGTCACATTCTACATGATATGCACACATTTCCACACCACCTGTGAGGTAGTGTACTTTGACGCGTTTTTTTAACGCGTTTTCCCCGGTAGGCCTACTCCACGAACTGTTATGATGGAATTTTCAGGGACAATACTCTTTTAACTGCAGTTCTGATTTCTTTTGATATTTTAATCTAATTCGTACTCTTCAAAGTCGACTTCAACAGTCATGTCTTCTTCGATTTCTTCTTCTTCTTCTTCCTCTTCTTCTTGCTTGATGTTCATAAATTGTTAAAATAAAGATGAATCAGCTGTCTCTTCATCGAAATCACATGAATTTTCGTCTGTTGTATTCAATCCGACATTTGAGCCAGACTGGCTTTGACAATTAGTACACGCTGGAGAACACAGTAACCCTACTTTTCTACAGCCACATTTAGCACTACAACCTTTTTTGCAATTGCAAAAAATAGTATTTAGGAGTTTTTCCGGAGCAGGTGGAAGTAAAGTTTGAATCGGTTCCAAAGTATTATCTGTTCCAACCCCAGTCTTCTGGGTTCAGTTGATTGCCTAGCCATGTCTGAACTTGATAGTATACTCGATACAAGTGTTGATTAACAGATGTTGGAGGAAAACAAGATAGTTGTACTTGTTTCTTGTTTCGTGTATTTTTTACAGAAGTTAAATATCTATATTTATCTATACAATCAATTTTTTTTGGAGCTCCTTAACAGTAAGGAGAAAGCGAATTCCTTTTGTGATTATTGTTTGAGGTGAAGAATCAATTTCTCTAATCAATCAAATCTTTTTTTCCAAATAATTTTAATACTGATGTTTTACCCCTTCTGAACGTTGCTGATGTAGTATCGCAGCCGGTTATCGCATGTAAAAATAAGATATGGTTTTGGCATTTTGGATAGGCAGATAAACTTTTTGAAGAATATATTCTGTTCGCTGTTGAGCCTTTCCAGGTTTTAAAAAGTATATAATTTTATCAATTGAAGTCCTTGCAATGAGTAGTATTAATAAGTCATCTTCACCAACTGCAATAGTTGTATTTGTAGCATTAAATTGTTCTATTGCTGTTTCAATTATAAGAACATCTGCGTCATTTTGACTAAGGGACTGAGTTTCTTTTGAGTGTAGATTATCAGAATAGTATAGTTTATACATATAAGAGACACAAATAGGTATTTTTACTTGCATTAAGTGCCTGACTATGTATATACGTGGCATATATGTGCATATCATGTAGAAGGTGACTCCTTCAACTTTTAGAATCGCGATATCTCAGGAATGGTGGTTCTTAGAAATAAAAGTATAAGAACTATTTTTGTAGATAATTTTTAGATCTATAATTTTTGTCAGAACTACTTTTTTGATAAAACTTACCGTTTTAGAAAAAAATCCGAAAATCCTCAAATTTTGACTTTTGACCCCGAATAACTTTTTTAGCACACATGGGATCGATGGGGACTTTTGACACTTTATTTCTAATGGTGTACCCAAGGTCTCCGCCAAAATTTAACTCTGTCGGAATTTTCGTTATTTGACCACTAATTTTATGACTAATTTGACAGGACTAAAAATTTTGCTATTGCTATTTTAGGTGTTTTCCATTTTAACTAAATTTAGTTTTCTTCTGTTCTTTTTTTATTAACTCCAAAATAGCAATGAAATATTTGCTGAAGTGGCAATTTAATCTTTTTGACATGAATCATGTCGTTGCAATATGCTATGTTGGAAATTTTGTAAAATTCTGATAAAGGAAATTCAATCTTATGATTTTCGCTCAAATTTTTCTGGTTTAGATCAGTCGCATTTTGTCGATCTGTGAAATTCTCTCACCTGCCGCTGCATCCCCTGCATCTCCCCGGGAACATTCCTGGTACTCATGATGAGATACACCGCCATGCTGAGGTAAAACACACCGATAATAACCAGGGGTATGATGTAAAGCACTAGAAATTTACTCAGTACCATCACTTGGGGGTACCGGTGGTTAAGCCAGTGTTCTGGGAAGGGGTAGCACACGAAAAACAGGGGGCTCTCTGCCGGTACGCCTTTTATGTGCGATCCAACGGCCGCGGGTATGGCGCATATGATGGCCAGGATCCATATGTAGATGGCGATGCAGAGGGTGATTCTCGTTGCTCGACGTCCTCCACCTGAAACAACGATAAATAATGGTGTTTATTTGATTGGATATTTCTGAACTGAACAAAAAAAAATACTGCAAGGAAAGTAATATATACATATACAGGGTGTCATTAATAATGATACACAGCTTAATGGCAGATGTTGAAGTGAAAATATAGCGATTGAGGCAAACATGCCTTAATCAATTGTTGCTCATTTTCGTTCTACAGGGTGTTAAAGTTGAAAAAATATTTTTTTTACCTATATTTTAAGTATGTATGGACCGATTGCTTTGAAAATTTGTAGTTTTACGTTTTTTGAGGTGGCAAATACGAATATGCAAATAGTGTTGGGGTCACGTCTAGGGGGCGCTAGTTGTACTGACCTGTCAATGTAAAAATATGTCTAACTTTTTATGTTTATATGTTTACAATTTTGAATTTTTTAGCTAGAAATTGTTGAACTTCGTTCAATTCTAAATAAAAAAGGTATACTTGTTACAAGTCGATAAACTGTCAACTGTCAGTACAATACCATATTGTTTTCTACTCAATTTGATTAGAAGTAGTTTTTTCCTTGTCGTTATTTTTTAGAGAAGAGAATATCTTAATAAAGTGCTAAGAAAGTGCATTGAAGTTGCTGGTAGTTAATAATTTGTTAAGATATTCATAATAAAATCTTTAATCGCTGTAATGTTTGTCTTAATTCTTAATTCAGGCTTGGTACCTTAAGACCTGCTAATTTTCTAATTTAATTCCCGCCGAATCTCAAAAACTTAAATCGTCTGTATCTCGAAAACGGTTGTACTAATACTTCTTTTTTATTCAGAATTGAACGTAGTTCAATAATTTGTAGTTAAAAAATTCAAAATTGTAAAATACAAAAAGTTAGACAGATTTTTACATTGATAGGACAGTATAACTAGCTCCCTCTAGACGTGACCCCAACACTGTTTGCATATTCGTATTTGCCTCCTCAAAAAACGTAAAACTATAAATTTTCAAAACAATCAGTCCATACATACTTAAAATATAGATAAAAAAGGAAAATATTTTTTCAAGTTTAACACCCTGTAGAACGAAAAGGAGCAATAATTGATTAAGGCATGTTTGGCTCAATCACTACATTTTGACGTTAACAATATGCCATTAAGCTGTGTATCATTATTAATGACTCACCCTGTATACTCCTGGGGAATTATTGAAACATATTTTTTATACAGTATTACAACTATGACAGCTTTTTTGCACAAAATGGAGGGCTACAAAAATACAGTAATTTTTTACAAGACATTTTTTTGTGTAAAACTACAGTAAAATTCAAGTAAACGTTCGGGCTTTGTTGCTGTCAATACAAAGATTAGAAAGTAAGTAGATTGAGATACTTGTAGATATTGAATAAAATCGAGTTTAAAGTACTTAAAATTATATATTTCCATTTCTCAATTATTATTTTTTACCCAATATGCATAAATAAATGCCAAAGGTTGCGACAGAAACTTGGCTACAACGCACGAGTGTGCTGAGTTTATGCTTTGTAAGTTGGCAGTCCTTGTCATGTATATAAGTATAAAGGGGGGTCATTAGTGTTTGAAAGTAAAATAACTCCCTTGTTAGTTGTAATATAGAAAAAAAGTTTATATAAAAGTTGTACAGAATCAAAAAACCTAAAGGACAAAATTAATTTGAAACACACAGGGCTACGAGTAAAAACGGGACACGCGAAATATTACATTTTTTAAATTGAACATCCTGTATATTCTTAAACATATGGATTTCTGAGAAAATTCTATATATGGCAATATAAACAGTTTAACATTTTAGTACGGAGTTGCCAACTTATGTAGAAAATTCTTCGAATTTTGGAAAAAACATGTCCTCGAAGAAGTTGTATTAACTTTCAACTACTAACACTTGGAGCAAAAATATTTAACAGAGTTATAGGCAAACGTTAGGCAAATACTCCTATATTAGCTAATATCGATATTTTATACAGTGCATTTTTTTAATACGATCATTTTAAGAGAGTTTAAACTTGATTTCAAATGGAACACTCTGTATTTTATTGTTCTATTTTATTCACATATCAGTCCACTTCAGCTTTTATTAAGTATGTTCTACACCTAAAGTTGTTAGTTTTTAAGATATAGTAACATTTCTGGAAAAACCTAATTTTTATTATTTTCGGTTGCACGAAATGGATTTGGAAAATACTCACATTGTGTCAACTTGTCAGTTCATAATTTATCATTCCATTTTGAGTTAATTTTATTAGTGGTATTCTATAAAATAATAAAAATTAAATTTTTTCAGAAATGTTGCTATATCTTAAACTAACAATTTTAGATATAGAACAATAAAATACAGGGTGTTCCATTTGAAAAATTGTAGAAAATTAATTGTAGAAATTTAAACTTTCTAAAAATGATCGTATTATAAAATATGCCCTGTATAAAATATCGATATTAGCTAATATAGGAGCCTTGTCTAACATTTGATTATAACTATGTCTAATTATTTTGTTCCAACTGTTAGTAGCTGAAAGTTAATACAACTTCCGTTTTTTCCAAAATTAGAAGAATTTTCTACATAACTTGACAACCACGCACTAAAATGATAAACTGTTTATATTGACATATATAGAATTTTCTCGGAAATCCATTTGTGTAAAAATAGACATGGTGTTCCATTTAAAAAAATATAATGTTTGGCGTGTACCGTTTTTATTCATCACCCTGTATGTATCAAATTAATTTTGTAGTTTAGGTTTCTTGATTCTGTATAACTTTTATTTAAACTTTTATACTGTATTATGAGTAACAAGGGAGTTATTTTACATTAATGGCCCACCTTGTATGTGATCGCTCGTTCAGCTGATTGCTTTAACCTATAAAATGTCGGATGAAAAACAAAGCCGATAGAAAGGAAAATTTGTGACCAAAAGAAAGTATGAGAGCTTGAGAATTAGAACAGAAAATAGCAAAAGCAGGAAAAAAGGCTGCTGAAGAGAAGATTGTGGAGCCAGAACCTCCGCACGTCGTACGACATAGAGTACATGGGACAAAGCATAAACTGCTCTTTTACGTACTTTAGATTATCTACAAACTTATGAACACGAAGTGATTCGCGTGGAAAAGTTTAAATATGATTTAGTTACATGCATAAGTAGCATACTACTATGATGCACTTCTGTGAATACAAATGTTCCTTACAAGAGAAAGGTTTAAAGCGATTGTATTTATGAAGTACTAGCGGCCCGTCCCGGCTTCGCACGGGTGGACATTTATTTTAACCATTTTGGAATATAAAAATATAGCCTATGTTACTCAGGGATAATGTAGCATTCTAATGGTGAAAGAATTATCGAAATCCGTCCAGTAGTTTTTGAGTTGATTTGTAACAAACATATATACAAAAATACAAATCTTTTCTCTTTAAAATATTATTATTATTATTAGTATAGAAGTATAGATAATACAATTTGATATATGTATGTAGTATTATACTGTAATATGATGTTATTGCAGCCAAAAATATTCTAAAAAATATACTGAAATTATTGAAATGTTAATTTTAAAATGAAAAATGGTATGAAAACTGTCATAATTTATCAAAATAAATATTTCATTGATTAAATGCTGCTGTATATTTTACTTCTTGTATCGAAAGTTTATCATTCTTTATAAACAAAAAAAGATTTCAAAAAACATATTTCATTTGAAAATTTCCCATTTTATTTTATTATTCCAAATTGAATTACACAAATAAACACAAATTGAATGTAATATTTCTTCTAATGACTAATTTGTGTTTCGAAACGTTTGTTTAAATTTCCCGCTACCTATCCTCATTCGTACTCTATTGCGCTGTTGCCGTCACTCTTTCGTATTTGTTACTTGGCGGACAAGTCAGAACTTTTTATGTTTGATAATTTATTTCTCTGTGAAATGTGCGGTAACCTACTTTTTCTTTCTCTCATCTATTAATTAATGATTTAGGTAAATGTCTATATTTTTTTCGTCTTACTGTTTACATTTTTTTACCCATAATTCGATTGTAATTGTAATTCGAGAATTTGATTTCGCATTGCAAAAATACTACCTATATCTCAATAAGACGAAATTGGCTGCATTTTTTCGTATCATTCTATTCTCCTTAAATTGTATTACTTAAATACTGAGCTGACTGAGCTCTTCTTGCAGTGTACATACTGGCAGGATCCATTTATTATCTTATAACGGCATTTCCCCGCTTACATAGCACTTAAATTTCAAGGTACTGTGTTTCCTGTAACGTTTCCTAATTTAATAATTACGAGCTCGTCTAACAAATTGAATATATTATGTTAGAGAAGCTTTGGTGTCGACGTGTTGAGTATTATCGATAAAACGGGATTGTAGAATGTTCCCTTCTGACTTTAATGTATGCATATCCCTTAATGCGTTTAACTAAATACACTACATGCCTTACAGGCTTGGGGATGAACGAATACCTACGTGTATTTTAGATATACATTTTCGGTAATACTGGGTGAATCGCTTGTCTTGCTACAAACTTTGATACTAGAAGGTAGACATAGGTTACCACAAGTATTATGTATAAAATTGTATGCATTTTATAAAAAATATTTGTATGTTTTTTTAAAAATCACTCTCCGAAAGCGTTACGCCACTGTAGCTTTTTGATACGGTCTGTAATTAAGGCTTATAAAACTTTTAATATAATTTTATTTCCACTAAATTACAATTAATTCCACTGCGATGGTATATGAATTAAAATACGTACAAATATATAATTATATCAATATTCAAATACGTAGGGATCGTGTAAAAGTAATACAAAAACAGTGGCAAAGAAGTTGTTATTGAATGTCGAAGTCCAGGAAAATGCTGTCATGATTAATAATTAATCGATCGAATTAAACTCAAAATTATAGAGCCCTATAAAAACTTACAAGAACTGTTGCTTTAGATGATTTAATTGCGAGATTATAATGTTACTGCTTATTTCTAGGACGTCCTGTATCATTT